CCCGCGCCTGATCAAATCTCCCTGCCCCCATCCAGGACAACAACGTGAGTGAGATGTTCAACGTGAGCGTGGCGGCGGTCACGCTACAGGAGAGCTACTTCTTCATCTCGCAGCTCTTCCAGAAGTACGGCCGGCCCAACTCGCTGGAGCAGGCCTCTCTGGCAGCTCTCATGGACCACCTGGGCATCGGCAGTGGGGCCGGCCACAGTCACGACGCAGGGACCACCTCGGACCACAAACACGATCCCAGCGCAGATCACCAGCACGATCATGGCTCGGACCACCAGCACGATCCCAGCGCGGACCACCAACACGATCCCAGCGCAGACCACCAACACGATCATGGATCAGACCACCAACACGATCATGGCCAAGGTGAGTGGAAATGTGAATGCTGTGACGATGGTCTATCTCATTATGTCACCTTTTGTCACCTTTTGTGGTCTGCTAATCTCATCTTGTCACCTTTTGTCACCTCCTGTGCTCTGCTAATCTCATTATGCTCATATGACCTTAGCAGTTGCGAGCGCCGTAAAACCTTCATACATACTAATCTCATTGTGTCACCTTTTGTCACCTGCTAATCTCATCATGTCACCTTTTGTGGTCTGCTTATCTCATCATGTTACCTTTTGCAACCTCCTGTGCTCTGCTAATCTCATCGTGTCACTTTTTGCAACCTCCTGTGCTCTGCTAATCTCATCATGTCACCTTTTGTCACCTCCTGTGCTCTGCTAATCTCATCATGTCACCTTTTGTCACCTCCTGTGTTCAGGTCACTTCATCGTGTCACCTTTTGTCACCTCCTCTGTGGCCTGTAATCCCCTTATATAGTAGGAAATGCAAGTGTCGTAAATCTCATCTGTCACAATGTCTGTCACAATGTTTGTCACATTGTCTGTCACATTGTCTGTCACAATGTCTGTCACAATGTTTGTCACAATGTCTCACAATGTCTGTCACAATGTTTCACAATGTTTGTCTTCTCGGTGATGGTTGTGGCCTGTCCATTTTACTGGTCCTGTTTAGCGGGTGGCTGGCAGGTGCTCTGCAGTGGTTTGCTCCTTCTTTCCTATCAGACGTCCATTGTCATTATCTCTCCTCTTTCTTTGGGTATATTGCTCTCTTGTGTCACTTCTAATTGTCGGACCTTGGATGACTTTATTGTTTTGCAAGTGCCGTAAAACTTACAGAAACGTAGAAGACTAACTGTGAAGTTTGACGTCTGTCCCAGGTGATGATTCTGCGACATCAGAGGACAAGGAGAGGTTCCCGCGGTCTGTGCCAACACATCATGTACACAATACACACCAGGAGGTGAGTCAACACAGCAGAATACACACTACACATGTTACACTACACACCAGACAGAAAGAATACACACTACACACGTTACACTACACACCAGACAGAATACATACTACACACCAAACAGAATACACACTACACACGTTACACTACACACAAGGAGGTGAGTCGGCACAGAAGAATACACACTACACACATTACACTACACACCAGACAGAAAGAATACACACTACACACGTTACACTACTACACACCAGACAGAATACACTCTTCACACGTTACACTACACACCAGACAGAAAGAATACACACTACACACCAGACAGAATACACACTACACACGCACACTCACACTAACACACCCCACTACCTCCCCTGTGCCTGAGCCTCAGTCACATGCTCCACGCCCCCCACACACCCCACTACCTCCCCAGTGCCTGAGCCTCAGTGACATGCTCCAAGCCCCCACACACACACACACACCCCCCCCCACACACCCCCACACACACACTCACTAACACTACCTCCCCAGTGCCTGAGCCTCAGTGACATGCTCCACGCCTTCCACCTGGCCCCCAAGTCTGGCTTGACCACTGTCCAGTTTGCCTACCTGTGCCCGGCACTCATCTACCAGCTGGACAGCGACGTCTGCCAGCACCACCGCCACCACACAGGCGACCCCCACGACCACGGCACAGACGACCACCACGCGGAGGGGGAGGCGGCCGTGTCTCCGACCTTTGACCTCGCTGCCATCCCAGCCAAAGGTGGGCAGCATACTGAGAGTGGTGACTGGTTGTCTGTTTGTCTGTCTGTCTGGTCGCTGTCGTTTTCTCTCTCCATGTCTCTATCTCTTTCTCTATCTCTCTCTCCCTCCCTCCCTCCCTCTCTCTCTCTCTCTCTCTTTCTCTCTCTCTCTCTCTCTCTCTCTCTCTCTCTCTCTCTCTTTCTCACACACACATACACACACACACACTCACACAATCACACACACACACATACACACACACACTCACATTCACAACAGACAGGAATCTGTTACCTGACCTAGAAAGTGACAAAGTGTTTGGTCTAAGATATGACAGTATGTGCGTGTGACTGT